GAAGTGAGAGAGCCTGAGGTAAAAGCCCAGAGCCAGGCTTCACAGAAGGGTGGGGCAAACCGCACGTCCTGGCACTCCATCTCTGAGCTCTGGAAGCACAGTGGACCTCTTCAGCTCTGAAAGGTGTGTGGCAGCTCATGGCTTCACTCCCATCGTTGCAGGGCCCCATTCAGTTGCATTTTGTCTCTGAGGCTGTCTCTCTTGCCACAGACGCAGCCCTGGATAGCGAGGGTACAGGCTTTCCCATCACAGTGCAACCTCCTCATCCTCCAAAGGAAGCATTTTGGTGCTTTCAAATCCCTACCCCGTGCTGAGAATGATAAAGGGACCTGCTGTGATCATCTGTGTGTGGACTGATTTGTATCTTTGTGAATACAGCAAATCCATGTACAAATAAGGCCCCTTCCCCATGGGGTCTTTTGGAGATGACCGCAACCAGTTTTCCATCTTTTGGTTTCCAGGCTGCTCCTTAGCTGTGTCTTCCAGACACTTCCAAGATTCCTTGGATTGTTTTATTAATCATTACAAATCAATGCTCATTGTTATTAAGGCAGATTTTAAAGACATGTAGCTACATTTATAGATAACTGAAATTATGTGAGTATTCACATATGTGCAAACATATTGAGGAAGATGCATGTGCTTTTAGCACTCTCATCCTCTGTTTCATTTCTAGAAGCTGCTTAATATTTTGAGATTTCCATTCACTAATTAAAATTTCTGGCAAAGTAAAACCTCTCCAGCTGGTTTTCACTATCTCCATTTCATAATTTATTTTCCTGGATCAACAAGTACATTTGACCACGTGCTGTATTAATACTTGCATGTCAGAATGACATTGGAGAGGTTTTTCCCAGTGCAATGATTATGTGTGAATGGTGGGCCAGTTTGAAAATCTTGAGAAGTTACATCTTTAACCAACAAAACTATTTTCTATAGAGGAGTGCGCTCCTCTAGATGGCACTCGAAGCTATGTTATCATTGTTTTGGGGGGCAATAAAAAGAAAACTTTCCTTACTTGTGAGCTCAAATCTGAGAGTGCTGGATAAGTTGTTCAGAGTTTCTAGGCAAGCTGGGAGACTTGTCTTCTGGTAATATAAGACTTGTGTGGGTAAGGTTCAGCTTATAAAGGAAAAAATTGACGCTTACAAGAGTGCTCTCATTTTCTTTAGTGTTGTTTTACTTGTGTTGTTTTTCCTCCACATGAAGGAGAGGTTTATAATTAAGACAAATAAATTTAGTTTATTTCCCTAGTATCTTGTGAGACTTTTTAGGTTCCTTCGTAGCTTGATTCTCATTTACTTGCTCTCTATTACAAAGGTAGAATAAGGTGTAATTTATAACCAGGCTTTGATTCTCTTAGTACTCTTCCATTTGTGAAACAGGGTGAGTAATAGTCCTTATCCATACATCTGCTGCTTGCCTCTTTCATTTAGATTGTGATTTCTTCAAGTGAAGGACTGTAACCAATGTAAGCTGGTGCCTCCAGGAGTATTCAGTGAACGGGCTCTGCTTTACCTGAGGGTTTCATGCAGAGCTGCTCCTCTGCTCTCCTAGCATGCTCATTTCTGAGACTGCTTGGTTTGGTGCAGTGCCTGTGGCTACAGCGCTGCTGACAGCAATACAGACAACAGGAAGGCAGAACCTTGCTGGCTCCATCGGTTTGTGAGTTCTAATAGGACTACAAAGTCATCTGGCTTCATGCGTTAGACACCAGCTTGTTCCAAAAGCTTTAGTATTATCAGTTTTCAACTTTTTTCCTCCATTACCCAGGATTTTCCTTTCCCAGTTGTTCCACATAAATCATACCTGTGTTGCTTTCATCTAGCTTCTGAAGAAAACTTTTCACCTACCATTTGTGCTATGTCAATGTACACTTCATTTTTTTGCAATCAAAAATATCCCCACAATCCCTGGAAGACAGCTCTTCTGTCATGGGCACTGACTCCCAGACCTCTGCTCTCTACAGCTTCCTGAGGAGGGGATGTGGAGGGGCAGGTGCTGATCTCTTCTCCCTGGTATCCAGTAATAGGATGTGTGGGGATGGTTCAAAGCTGCATCAGGGGAAGTTCAAACTGAACATTAGCAAGCATGTATTTACTGAGAGGGTGGTAAAACACTGCAACGGGCTTCCTCGAGAGGTGGTCGATGCCCCATGCATGTCAGTGTTTAAGAGACATTTGGACTATACCCTTAACAACATGCTTTAACTTTTGGTCAGGCATGAAGTGTTCAGGCAGTTGGACTTGATGATGGTTGTAGGTACCTTCCAACTGAAAATATTCTATTCTATTCTAGCCAGGCTTTTTTCAGTAGTACTCTGTGACAGGACGAGGGACAACGGGCAAAAACTAGAACACCGAAAGTTCCACACAAACCTAAGGAAAAACTTACTGTGAGGGTGATAGAGCACTGGGACAGGCTGCCCAGAGAGGTTGTGGAGACTCCATCTCTGGAGGTGCTCAAAACCCGCCTGGACGATTTCCTGTGCAACCTGTTGTAGGGAACCTGCTTTGGCAGGGGGGTTGGACTAGATGATCTCCCGACGTCCCTTCCAACCCCTATGATTCTGTGATTCTATTCTATTCTTCATATGTATTACCGCATTTGGGATTCATTTTGGCTGTCTTGCCTTTGGGATATATGAAAGTTCCTGCTTTAATATATAAAAACAAAATAGTCAATCAATAGAGATTTATTCATGGCTTAACAATGCAAGAAATTACCAGGGTGGGAGTGTCTTTCCTTTTAATGCATTCATACCTTCTTTTGCATGTTAAATCACAGCTGTATGTTTCTTTGTCTGGAGATTGTACGTAGGTGTTTAGCTGAACAGCACACTTTTTCAGCTGTTAAAAAAAATATGTAGCAGTAATCAAGGAAACCTACCACAATTAAAAGAACAACCTGAGCATCTCAAACTAAGTATGCAGGTGGGGTCAGAATCAGCCTGTTGACAAAATGTCTATGTTCTGCAGGTTTGTGGCTGTGCTTCTTGCACCCTTTTGGTCTCTGTTCTTAGCTATTCCTGTGGTCAGACCCTTGGGTAACACCTTGTTAACCTGGTTGCTTTTTCACTAACCTTCACCTTTCCCGAAGCTGATGGTAGCCTACTTGGAGGAAGGTTTTATTGCTGTTTCTTTTCTCTATTGGTCTTCCCTTAACAATAGTTCATTCACCTTTTAAAAACATCATAGTGATTATTGCTCTGTGGTCATTGTTGTCTCAGAGCTCAGTTCTAATTGACTTGATTCTTTCACCTTTGCAACAGACTCCTACATCCAGTGCTGTGCAGGTGGCTTCCTATTTGTGGGATGAATTAAATGGACACTACCTGAGAAACATTCTCAGGTGCGTGATGGCTGCTTTGCAGGCAGATGTGAACTATTGTTAGAATGAGATGTCCTTTATTACGTACATTACCTTTTTCCAGACCCAATTGTTTTGTCTTGATCAAAACATGGTATATGCCATTGCTGTCTGATGTGGTAATTTTGGGTCTATTGAACAATGACTTTTAAACTTAGGGAAACTTCAGGGAAATACTGCATGATCCAAATAGATAATATGTGTTCAGGCAGATGCCTAATGCTTATGTGAACAGTCTCTTCAGAGATCATTAAAGTTCTCTAGAACAGACAACTGACAACAGTTCTTTAGAATATTCAAGCCTGCCACAAGAATATAGAAATGAAGAGCATCTCAAGCTGCAGATGGTTAGACAACAGAGTACACTTCCTTTATAACTCAATTTCTAAATGTTTTGCTGTGTTTGCTTCCTCTGTACTGAGTCGAATATGGAGAAAGAAAATACAGGTTGAGGAAACTACTATAACGAAGCATGTCTGCACATGCAAATCTATAAAGCTTGGGACTGTAATGAATGAAAATTCTCAGATTAGTTTGTAACCATTACCACTGTATTTAGAAACTGTGCTGTCATTAAGTGGCCACTTCAGCAGATGATGGGGTATACCCAAACGTTTTGGAAATATAAGCTGGAATTTTCAGAATCAGAAAACGCTAACAGCACTATCAGTAACTCCCGCTACTCGAGTTATTATTCATATGGTGAGTTTATTGTGAATTAAGAATACAGACAGTGTTTTAATGATACATGTGAAGGCTGTCACATATGCACTCTGGTTTTCATTGTGCACTTGAGGGAAGCATTAATATAAACAAAGAAGTAAATAATTATATACATCTCCTTTCCCAGAAAATCTTTGAAGAATTCTACCAGTGTCATAGCTCATTCTGTGCATTTAACTGTCCAGTAAATATATACATTAAAAAATTATTTATCCACATTTTAATGGTTATTCTTTGTCAGCATGTTTTATTTTAGTATCTTCAAAATGTGAATTAGTTATATGGTTTTTGATCTTTAATTTATTCTGTTGGGTTTTTTTTAAATTATTTTAAGGCTAAATATGACCCACCACAATAATCAAAGAATGAGAAGAGAGGAAGGGGTAAAGCGTTAGTTTCTCTACACTAGAATTTTGTTTTTATTTTGCATTATAAAATATTTGTGGAATAATGCATATTGCCTTAGCTGAAATAAAGAAAAATATTTTAATAAGAAAGCAAAAGTAGGTCAGAAAGGTCCAAAATCTAAACAGGTAAGTATAGTTCTTATAGTACTAGTTTATACTCCATTCTGGAAGTAATCTAAACATAATTGGTGTGTTTTTGAGAAGCCTTTTTAACAAGTATTTTTGCTATCATCAAGCCTTTCAATGGTTTACTTTCGTGGTTCAGGTATCTTTTCAGTCTTTTTTAAAACTATGGGCTCCTCTCTACCTATAGAAATTGTTGCCTTTGGGGTGGATTTGAAGAAATCAGTATTTTTATTAGTGCACATTAGTATAGCACTAATAAATGCATTGAAAATGTAAATGTGGTAAATTCTGTTCAAATGTTTTCACAAATATCAGATTTGGATTTTGTTTAATTTTCAGTTAATAGAAAATTAAGAAAACATTTTTTTATGTACATGTAGAATATTTTATTTTCATTGAGGGCTGAGAAAAGACAATATTCATTTTGTTGTACCTCCAGGAATATTAGCTTGACTATTTTTTTCTTCCTCCAACAAGATTAGTTCAGTTCTTGCTGAAGATGTCACGATAGTTCGAGAAACTGGAATGTTAGATGAAGCCCCATCAATTTCAGCATTTTCAGCCTCTGTTGTTTCTTTAGGTGATAAACTTTCTTGTGCATCAAAAAATACATCAGGTTTATCTGATGGGCTATCTTCATCTGAGATTCTTCCCTCTTTATGACCCATCTCTTCTTTGTCGATGATTTTAGCCTTTTTGGAAGGAGATGTGAAACCAAGCTTGGGAAATCTAAACCATCCAGTTTTTTCAGTTTGCTTGGAAGAATCATTATCTGATGTGTCAGCAGGTTTCACATCTTCTGGAACTGATTTTTTTACTTCTGTTTTTGAATCTGTGCTTGTTTCAACACCAGAAGATGAAAACCCAATATTTGGAAGCCAAAATTTGAATCTTCCAGGAGATCTTTTACTATCAGCCTTTTCTTTTTCATTGGTTATGTCTTTTTCCTCATCCTCTAGTGCTTCAGCTACATCCTCATATTTAGAGAGAGGATGTGCAGTTATTCCCTCTGGTGACTTATCAGGATGACTCTCTTCGGGTTTACTGGAAGGTTTTACTTCAACAGCAAATGTTTTTAACCTCTGCAAACTTACTTCTCCACTAGGTTCTTCAGTCTCACTGTGTGGTTTGTCAGACAGTTTAAGCTCAGCACTGCCAGTTCTCTGTGCTGCTACTCTAAAGCTTCCATCAGCACATTTAGGTTGGCTCACTGATACATCTGCTGTTGAAGATGGCTGCTGGACTAGCACTTCTAAGTTGCTGTGTGATTCAGGCAACTTCACCTTGAGCAATGAGAATCCCAAAGTAGCAGTTTTGACTTCTGATGAGAGAATCTCTGATTCTTTCAGTATTTCAGTAGTGTAAATTTCACACCTTTCAATAGCAACATGTTCAGGTTCTGTTTTCTCACTCACTTCTTGGCCCTCTACATATGACCAATGAATGTCTTGCCCTGCACTCGAAAGGGAGGACTCTATGGTAGTAGTCATTTGTGCTGTTTTAATGTCAGGTTCCGTCAGTGTTAGAATTTTGCTTTTTGCTTTTTGAATACCACCCTCCAGAGCCTCTGGTGTTTCTTCAGGCACAGCAGAGCTTGCTTGCAGTTGCACTACTTCAATGTCAGTACTAGATCCCTTCCAATCTGTTACCACTTTTGACACTGAAACATCAGCTTCAGTTGGAAGAACTTTGAAAGTGAATCTTGGTATTTTTAGTTTAGGAATTTTTATATTTACTTCTGGGCCATCTTGTGATTTGCCCACTGTTTCCACTGTTACTCTGTCAGATGATTCAATATGATCTTGAGTTGGACTTTTCAAGCCAATGGATCCTTCTGATTTTTGAAACTGCATTTCTGCTGTGCCTATTTCAGTTTTAGATACTGAATCAGCTTCTGACTTTGGCAAACTGATATCATCTTCAAAACCTTTTACATCTGAATGCAACACTCCAAACTTTGGAATCTTAAACTTGTATGTTTTAATTTTACTTGTTTCTGCTCTATCTTCTACTTGCACTTCCGCTGCTGCAGACATGTCCTTTTCAACACTTTTCACTTGAAATTTCATTTCAGGATCTACTCTAGCAATTTTAACATCCATTTTAACTCCTGGAACTTCCACCTTTAGATCTTCCAGCTTAGCTGTAACATAAACACCATCTTCTGATCCCTTTGTTGTAGACCATTCACACATAGGCTTTTTAAATTGGCTTCCTTCACTGTCTTTTCCTATAATTTTCACCTCACCCTTTATCCTTCCTTTTTGAGTTACTGCCTCTTGATTTTGAACATCTAGCTCTTCCTTTGGAAGATTAACATCTATTTTCTCCTGTCTTGCATCCAGAGTAATTTCAGCTGATGATGGTTTACATCCTACTCCTGAAGTCTCTAACTTAGTGGAACTTTCTGCCTTCAGGACTTCTACATCCTGTGATTTGACTTTATGCTCTTCAAGAGTCAAAGTACATGTAGGAAACCTATTTGTTAAACTGTTGTCTGTGTCAATTTCTGAAGCACTTAAGTATGATTTAGACAATTCTGCCGAAGACACTGTGAATTCTGAAGTATGGAATTTTTGTCCTTCAGCAGCACGCTTAACCATGTCTGCATAAGTTTCAGTTTTCTGAATATTCACTCTACTATCTGTTCTTTCTGTGGATAATGAAATATCTCCTTCCATCTTTGGCAAGCTAACATCAGAACTCTTTGCAGAATCTCCTAACTTTGAAATCTCTTCTTTTCCAATAGTAATTTCAGTGACTGCTTGTGGCAATGAGAAAGTATTTTCAGGAATACCTGTTTCAGTTTGTGCTTTGGCAGGGGGAATGCCTGCCTGAGTATTTTCCATACTTCTTTCAATATTAGCATCACCTTTTTTTTCCTTTGAGGATGTTCTGCCAAATGCAGGTATTCTGAATTTTGGCATTTTAAACCATCCCTGCTGTTCTTCAGTCTGAACTTCTTCAGCTTTTATTTCATATTCTTTCAATTCGATGTCTTTCTCCTCAAGGCTCTCAATAGCTCCCTCTGTCACTGGTTTAGACCCTGACTGGGGGCTTAAGCCTGCCTTTGGAGCTTCAATGCCAGCTGTCAGATCTTGGGGTGTTTTTATCTTACAAGCATAAACACCAACTCCAGGATCTGACATATCAGATGTAAGTTCTGATGCTGGAACTCTCACAGCAATGTCAGCAATTTCATTTGTAATTTTTAGCTGGGGTAGCTCAGCTTCTATTTCTGGAGAGCTGATCTCTGTCTCTGGGCCTTTCCCTTTTGTTAGGGAGATTCCAAACTTTGGCTTCTGGAATTTGGGCATTTTAATCTTCCCTTCAGGACCTTCCAATTTCATCTTCCTTCCATCCACAACTGATGATCTTTCTGTCACTATTTCAGAGGTCCTCAGTTCAATTGAAGTTTCTCCTTTGGGGAACTTAATACCTGTTTTTTGCATGGTATCTTCATCAGTAGAACTCGTTTTTAGATCAACTTGTTGAAAACTCCCCTCCAAGGCAGGCAGAGCAGCATCAGTCTTTGCTGAGCTGACTCCCACATCAGTTTTGGAGGCTCCAGTATCTATTTTGGAAAACTCCAGAGCAGGAATCTTAACATCAGCCAGTTTTATGCTTATTTGTGCCCCTTCTTCTGTCCTTTCAGAATGACTTCTTTCTATATCAGGTATCTGTATTGAATCATCACCCTCTCTTTCTGTTTTAAGAATAGTAGCATCAACTTCAACTTTTGGTGAATGTGTCTGAGATTTGGGAACCTTGATCTTGGAGAGTGAAATTTTAGGCATGACAAATTGTGACTTTTTAACTGGACTTTTTTGTTCAGCTTTTCCTGCAGATATTTCCAGATCAAGGGCTGGCCCACTACCTTGGTCATCAGTTGCAGGTCCTCTCACTTCTGTGTCTATTCTACCTGACACTATAGCAAGTTTATGATCTTCCAAATTTGCTCCAGAATCTGATTTAATGCTTGCTTCTTTCTTTGGTGACCAACTGAAGGATGGAAGTTTGAATTTTGGCATTTTGAAATGTCCTTCTTTCTCTTCTCCACTTCCATCTTGTTTTATTTCCCCTTTAATTTTTAGTGCTGCATCTGAATCCTGAATATCACTGTCTGATTTTGGAATAGAAATGTCAGTTGATGGGAGGTGAACATCAGCCTCCGATGCTTTACTGTCAGCTTTGGTCATTTTGACCTTAGGGCTGTAAATTTCTGTTCCTGTACCACATTCCACATTTGGTGCCTCAACAGCAATGTCAGCTATTTCTACCATTGATTTTAGTTGGGGAACCTTGACTTCTGATTTGGATTGGCTGACCTCCTTTTCTAACCCTTTCTCTTTAGAATGTGTAATTCCAAACTTTGGCATTTGGAATTTAGACATTTTTGTTTTCCCTTCAGGACCTTCAATTTTTATTTCTACATCACCCACAGCAATTTCACTTGGTGTTCTTTCAACACTTGTATCAGGACTCTTCACCTCAAGGAAGCCTTCAGTTTTCATCTTAATATCTGAGGAGAGGCTGGCATTAGCAGCAGCTATTTTCAATGTCATGTCATCGTCTTCACATGTAGGAAGTACGACTTCACCTGTAGTCATGCTAATATCCATCTCTATTTTGGGAGCTTTGACATCCGGTTTGGAAAATTCCAAAGCCGGGACTGTAACTTTTGGCATTTTTATGCCCACTTCGGCCCCTCCTCCACTACTCCCTTTCTCAGGTTTTTGTACTGAAACACCTTCTTTTTCTTGTTTGGGACCACAAACATCTGTTTCCAGTATGGGCAGAGAGACCGGGACTTTTTGACCCCTCATTTTAGGGAATGAGATCTTTGGCATGATAAATTGGGACTTCTTGCTTCTACCCTTTTCACCATCTTTTTCTATTGGTGTATTAAGTTCCACATGAAGATTCTGATTCTCAGGAGTAGGAAATGTTAAATCACATTCTATGTCTCCAGATAAAGTAGACAAAGTGGGTACTTCCAGATGTCCCTCAGCTTCAGAAGGAGCAGTAGCTTCTTTCTTTGGTGACCAACTAAATGAAGGCAGTTTGAATTTTGATGTTTTAAATTTGTTTTCTTTCTCCTCAGTGTCCTTCTTTCCTGAGAATACTTCCTGTTCTGCCTTGCACTCTAAATCTGGGCCAAGGATTTCAACTTCTAATTTTGGCATGGTAGCTTCCATTGATGGGAGACTGACATCCAAACCTTGTGCATCCAGAACCACTTCAGGTGAAGGCTTGCGCTCCTTTACACCTAATTCAGCATCCGGGATCTGAGCTGGTTTTCCAATATCAGTATCAGTCATATCAGATGTTATCCTTCCCTTGGAAATTTCAGATTCAATATAGGAACCAACGTCACTTTCTGATGGTTTCCCCTTAGATGAAGAAACTACAAATTTTGGTTTTCGGAATTTAGGAATTTTAACTGTAAACTCCATGTCACTCATAGATATTTCAGCAGCTGATTTTTTCCCTCCCTCCCTTTCCAAAGAACCATCTTCATTTACAATTTCAAAATCTGTTGCTAAAAGATTTGATCCAGATTCTGCTAGATTACCTTGATATTTAGTAAGAGTAATGTCGCCTTTTGGTAAAGGGGAAACCTGTTCAAATTTAGAAGAACCAAAATCAATTTTGGAGAAACTCAAACTAGGAATTCTAAATTTTGTATTTTTAGAGCCACTAACTCCCTGATTCTCAGGAGGAAGTTTAGATTCTACATTACTTGAAAGAACAGAATGAGTTTCCTCTGTTACAGAATAACAAAGATTTTCTGAACTAGAAAATTCAGATTCGGACTTACCCTGTGTCTGAGGTTTAGAACTTTTCGAAAGAGAAACCTTAGGCATTCTAATTAGAGAACTTTTAACTTTACCCATCTGATCCGCTTTTGGGAAAGAAGAATCTATAACACCATCAGAACTTGGTGTTAATATCTCAGCTGCGGGCAGGGTCACGTCCACTTCAGAAGCTCCCGAGGGTTCCTTCACTGTCACTTGGGGTTCCTTGAGGCTGACGTCCACG